TTACTCTAGCCACATTTGTTGGCAAGATGTCACCTGACTGACTAATCTTGATGCCCTGCTGAAATTGTCCTACACTGATGTATCTGTCCTTTGCTAGTCTTAATCAAAGCAGCATTTTAAGAGTTTTCAAATCAGGAAGTTAGTTCTCTAGTTTTGTTCTTTTCAGTACTATTTTAACTGTCCCTCAACAGTTGCAGTTCCAGACTTTTAGGATCCGCTTGCCCATCTCTACGAAATATGCAGCTGAATTCCCATTTTGTCTTTTTTTTCTTTTGTAGACTTTGCCCTGTACTATGTTCTCTATGACCATATCCCCAGCTCAGGCAGGTGAAATTTTGGTAGGGGCTGTACTGATCATCCGGATCTACGTGGAAGTACTGTCACCTCAGCAGCATGTCTTCTAGTCCATGAAATGCAGGCTGTCTTTCCTGGGTCTCTTCATTTAGGTTGTGGTCTTCTGTAAGCTCATATGGTCTTTGTAGTTTCCGGCACACATCTCTCATTTCTAGAGTTAATTTTATTCCCAAACATTTTTAATAGAATAGGAAGCTGGCAGTATAAAAGGAAGAGGAGGGTAATTAAAGACATGAAGATATTTATCTTTATGTATCCATGTATAAAGTGCATGTAGTGTCGTGGGGTCTAGAAGAGGGTGTCAGATTCCCTGAACTGGAGTTGCAGAGGTTGTTGGCTGCCACGTGGGTGCTGGAAATCAAACCCAGGTCCTCACTGGAAGAACAGCCACTGGTGGTAACCACGGAGCCATCTTTCCAGTCCATTTCAGTCCAGTTCAGTCATTTGATGTTATTATAAATGAACTATTCCTTAATTGTTTTTGACTGGCTGACTTTGAAAAATAAAGCTGCCACGAAAATCACAGCCACAAGGAACAGATACTTCTGAGCACACACAAAAGGATAATTGGACCCTTTCCTAGCTTAGCCTCCATATGAAAAATCAGCACTGGCCAATACCTTGACCTCAATCTTGTGAGACCCTAAACAAAAGACTTGCTAAGTTATTCTAGGCCTTCTGACTCACAAATGTGTGAGACAACAGTATTATTTAAAGCTGCGAGGTCTGGAATAATTTGAGTGCTAAAGAAAAACATATAATTTGTAACAAAATACTTATATATCAGTCATTCTAGTATTGGGGATTTGCCTAGAGAAATAAAAATATTTACCTCTAAATTCTTGTACATTAGTGTTTGTAAGAGCAATAGTGGAAAGCATTTGAAATGTCCATCAATACATGAATTGATAAAATGTGGTTTCATGAAATAACATCCAGAAATAAAAGGAGTTACAGATATAAAAAGTGAAATGGATAAATCTAAACTCATTATGCTCATGTGGAGGAATCTGACAGATCGTTAACATTAGTGGATGTTAACATTAGTTAACATTAGTGGATGTTAACATTAGTTAACATTAGTGGATGTTAACATTAGTTAACATTAGTGGATGTCTTAGTGTTCCACTGCTGTGAAGAGACACCATGACCACAGCAACTCTTACAATGGAAAACATCTAATTGGGGCTGGCCTACAGGTACAGAGGGTTAGTCCGTTATCGTCATAGTGGGAAACATGGAAGTGTGTAGGCAGACACATAGCTGGAGAGGAGGCATCAGGAGGAAAGTGTGACACTGAGCCTGGCTTGAGCTTTTGAAATCTCAAATCCCATGTCCAGTGCCACACTTCCTCTAACATGGCCACATTTACTTCAACAAGATCACATATCCTAATCCTTTCAAATAATGTCACCTCCTATGAGCCTATAGAGTTCATTTTCATTCAAATCACCACAATCTACTCCCTGGCCCTCTTAGGCTTGCAGCCATATTCATAATACAAAACTACATTCAGTTCCACTTCCGAAGTCCCTATTCTCTCCACGTTATTCATAGGTCAAAGTCTCTGATACTCATGGCAATCTCTTAACTATTACACCCTGTAAAGTCAAAATGAAAAAGCAGATCACTTAATTCCAGCATATAATGGCACATAATATACATTACCATTCCAAAAGGGAGGAAGGGAGCATAGCGAGGAAATACTGGACCAAAGCAAGACTAAAACCAGCCGGGCAAACTCCAAACTCTGCATCTCTGTGTCTGATGTCAAAGCGCTCTTCAGATCTCCAATGCCTTTCCGCTTTGTTGACTGCAGCACACTTCTGTCTCTTGGGCTGGTTCCACACCCTATTAGCAGCTCTCCTCAGCAGGTATCCTATGGCTTTGGCATTTCCAACATCTTGGAATCTCCAAGGCAATCCAGGCTTCTCCTTCACAGCTTCATGCAATGGCTTCTCCAGGCCTCCATTCAGGGACACCCCTGGCACATGCCCAGCCTCAGCAGCTTTTCTTAGTTATTCCCTGACTCTAAGGCCAGAACCATTTGGCCTAAGCTGCTAAATTCTGTTGCTTGTTGGAACTGGAACATGGCCCCCTCATTCAAATTCATTTTCACCAGCTTTCTATTACTGAGGGTTTCCTTCACTGCGGGCCTTCCTAGAACTCACTCTGTAGACCAGGCCTGAACTAGAGATCTATCTGCGTCTGCCTCCAAAGTGCTAGGGTGGCTCTAAGCTTTTCTTTCATTCCTTTTCACAAATTGAAAGCTTAGCTAGCTAGGGTCTTGTCCAGAGGCCACCACTCCCTTTATTCCACTTAGCAGCAGGCTTTTCTTTAATCTTTTTACACTTCCTGGAGCTCCTTTTCTTCTCAAACTGTACATTTTGTATTTTTCCTTGCTCAGCTTGCTCCTTTTCATTATAGATCTGTGTAAGTGTGGCCAATAATAACCAAGCAACACAGTCAATACTAGGCAGTTTGGAAATCTCTACCAAAGCTGTTAATCCATTAAACTTTTCAATTTAGCCTCAAGCAGATTTTTTTTTGGGGGGGGGGGCAAGCACAGAAAGCAGCCAAATACATTCTTTACCAAAATTTCTTCTCTGAAACCTCTTGAGCCAGGCCCCCACAGTTCAAATCACCCTCAGCTCCACTATCTTCCATGTTCCTACTAGTATGGCCCCACATTCTTCTGAACAAAAGCATGGTCACACCTTTCACAACAATACCCCAGTCTGGCACCAATCTCTGTCTTCGGTTCTATTGCTGCGAAGAGACACCATGACCACAGCAACTCTTTTTTTTTTTTTTTGGTTTCTTGAGACAACGGTTTGTTTGTGTAACAGTCCTGGCTGAAACTCATTTTTGTAGACCAGGTTGACGCTGAACTCCCAGAAACCTGTCTCCCTCTGCCTCCCAAGTGCTGGGATTAAAGGCGTATGCCAGCACTGCCTGGCCCACAGCAACTGTTATAAAGAAAATCATTTAACTGGGGCTGACATACAGGCTTAGAGGTTTAGTCCATTACTGTCAAGGCAGGAAACATGGCAGTGTGTGGGCAGGCATGGTGCTGGAGAGGCAGCTGAGACTTCACAACAGGAAGAAAGTGTGACACTGGGCCTGGCTTGAGCATTTGAAAACTCAAAGTCCATCCCCAGAAATACATTTCCTCTAACAAGGCCACATGTCCTAATCCTTTCAATCCTTTCCAATAGTGCCACTCCCTATGAGCCTCTGGGGGCCACCACATACTCCATCTGGCTTCTCTCAGCAGAAGCATCTTTGGCAATGGATGTAACATATAACGACAGCAGGAGGGCTTATAAAAGGCATGAACTTGTGGGAGTGGGAGTGTTCACTGTGCTGACCATATACATAGAACGATTGTACACCTGATGTGGAGTATCTGTTTGTTAACTATTCTTCACTGAGACTAAGCAGCACATGCCACTCACATGGTTTTTCTCACAGCTGGAGGAGAAAGTACAAGCTCTGTACTTGTCTGAAGACCACAGATGAGACCTCATTCCTGCTCCACCCATCCTCAGATATTTACTAAGTTCTCTGCTGGTTTCCGTCCACACCAACATTAATCAGACTCACTCTATATAATATAAAGAACATATTTGGTCTCTACCTAGTATCCGGCACAGAGCTCCTAAAACCCTTGGAACCTTCAAAGCCACAGTGCCTTTCTGCATTCTGAGAAGAGGGCTGGTGGTTGGGAAAATCTGAATAATTTCATGATGGGAGCCAGCAGGAGAGCTAACTGCCAGGGGAACAACATGTAATCAGGTTTGGAACTTCTAGCCATACTCCCCTGACTTTTGTGAAGAGAGGGGCTGGAGGTCGAGCTGATTATTTAACATGCTTACACAATGAGGACTTTATAAGAATCCGAACAAACGTCTTCAGAAGAGCTTCCCGACTACTCATGTGAGGGTGCTCAGAGGGTGGTGGGGTACCCCTTCCCTCCTCCAACATTTCTTGTGCATCTCTTATTCGGCTATTCATCTACATCCTTTCTAGTGTTCTTTCTAGGCCAGCAAGCCTGAGTTTCTCCCTGAGTCCTGCACACCATTCTAGTACATTAATCAAACCTAAGGAAGGAGACTCATGAGTAGAAGTACAGGTCTCAACATGAGGCTTCAACGTGTGGTGTGGGGTATAGAGTGGGAGAGGCTGTGGAACTGAACCCTTGTGGGATCTAAAGCCATCTGCTAGGCAGTGTGAGATTCAACCATAGCACACTCACATGGTGTGTGAGAATCTATTAAGTATGTGTGGATTACTCCTACAAACTTGGTTTCAGAAATGTTTGTGTGTGTGTGTGTGTGTGTGTGAAGATAGGAAAATACCGGTTTCAGCTATCTCTCTTCCCCAGGTACTGTACTAATAAAGCATATAGCCTAGATTTTTTAGAGCCAGACCTGGTAGCAAAGCCCCAGAATATCAGTTGAGAGGTTGAAGCAAGAGGATCACAAGGCCAAGGCCTGTCTGTCTTGTAACTTGGTGGTAACGTTTGCCCAGCACACTCAGGGGTCCTAGGTTTAGCCAGCACCAAAGACACACACAGAGAGACCGACTGGGATTTGTAAATCATAAATAATTATTTTTCACATTGGTTTCATTAGGATCCTTACCAGAAGCAAATCCCTCCCAGTGACTACGTGTCAACTGCTCCATACAGCCCACAACCTTGCTCCACACGCTGTCAAAAACATAAGCAAGGACATCCTCTTTCATGCAGTAAAATGGAGCAATGGGAGGGTACCCTAATTTCTGTTTCTCTGTAGCTGCTTCTGATTTGTTTCCATGAAATCCCTCTTCCCTGGAATAGAAGCAAGAGGGAAAGATTTCATGATTATTCTTCCCTGAGCCCCACCATTGTTCTTTATACTCAGAATGTGTATGGTGACCCGCTCCACCCTCCTCTTCACCCAGCACCTGCGGCTGCCAGTTCTCGGTAGGAGAGACTAGTTCCTTCTTTTATCAGCATCCTGTCCTAGTGCCCCACAAAGGAAAGGTGGGACTTAAATAGACCGGAAGTCCTCTGGGTTCTTCTGCTTCTCTAAGGGGAACAGCAATAGTCTGGGGCTGTGGGGGCTAGCTGACAGTGTGCTCATTTACCACAGACCAGTGGATCTCAGCCTGTGGCTCCAGCTGCATGTCAGACATTACATTACAATTCAGAACAGTAGCAAAATTACTTATGAAGTAGCAACAAGATAATTTTGTTTTGTTTTGTTTTTTCAAGACAGGGTTTCTCTGTGGAATTCTGGCTGTCCTGGAACTCACTCTGTAGACCAGGTTGGCTTGGAGCTCACAGAGATCCTCCTGCCTCTGCTTTCTGAGTGTTGGGATTAAAGGTGTGTGCCACCACCGCCTGATGCAACAAAATAATTTTATTGTTGGGGGTCACCACAACATGAGAAACTGTATTACAGGGTCACAGCATTGAGAAGGTTGAGAACTGCTGCCATAGACTACAACAAAGCAAATTCAGGAAGTGACTGAGGAATGAAAGAAATAGTCTAGGTTTCTACAGGAGATTGCCTTCAGGCAGAGGTCCCCAAAACCAAACCAAACAGGCAGGAAAGAGGTCATGTAGGGCAGCTACTGGAGGAAGAACGAGCTTGGCATTAGTAGGAACTAAGAGGATCAGACGATTGTGCTGAACCCAGAGGAAGAACAAGCTTGGCAGTAGTAGGAACTAAGAGGATCAGATGATTTGCTGAACTGTATTTACTTTCTTTCATTTTTAAATGTTATTTTTGGGGTAGGATTTTGCTATGTAGCCCTGACTGGGTAGAACTTACTATGTAGACCAGGGGTGACCCCCCAAATGCTGCAACTATAGGCATGTACCATTATTTGGTGAAAAATTAAAATGTATAGGACTCATAATGAAAAGGATGTCTCCTATATCTCTTGATTCCTGGTCCCCATCACCAAAAACAAATAGTCTATACTGTTCCAGAGAAATAATTACATTGCGTGTTACACTGTACCCCATGTTTTATTACCAGTGTGTCTGCCACTGTCCTATCAGCACATATCAGCCTGTCTCTTAGGAGAATTCCTGCAGCTGCACCACATGTATCCAACTAGCCAGGCTTCTGACTATGGTAGGTGCTGTAATTGTTATTTCATTTCATGGGTGATTACATCTGGAGAATAGATTCCTGGAAGTACAATTAGTGAGGGAAAGATAAGGTCCACCACCCTCTCAAGAGGCTCTACAGTCCAACAGTGAAGAAGAAACCCACAAGGTTGAATTCAAATATTTTTTTTCCTTTTTTTTTTTTTTGTTTTGTTTTTCAAGACAGGGTTTCTCTGTGGTTTTGGAGCCTGTCCTGGAACTAGCTCTTGTAGACCAGGCTGGTCTCGAACTCACAGAGATCCGCCTGCCTCTGCCTCCCGAGTGCTGGGATTAAAGGCGTGCGCCACCACTGCCCGGCTGAATTCAAATATTTAAAATGTTTGTTCTGGGCCTAGAGAGATGGCTGCTCTTTCAGAGGTCCTGAGTTCAATTCCCAGCAACTACATGGTGGCTCACAACCATCTATGAGATCTGGTGCCCTCTTCTGGTGGGCAGGCATACATGCAGACAGAACATTGTATACATAATAAATTAATTAATTAATAAAAAAATAAATGTTTGTTCTGCTCATAAGAACTTGCTGTTCATGTTCTTCTGCTGTTTAATCCTTAGTCTTTTCCTCATTGATATATACACTAAAAATTAATTCTATAAATATGGTACAGATATTTTTGCCTAGTTTTATTGACTTTGCATTTCTTTTTCCTATGCAGAAATGCCATCTAACATCATAACTTAAGAACTTCTTATATGACTTGTAGATTCTGTATTAGGGTTTAAAATGCTTTTGAGATGTAACGTGGTGACACGCTTTTAATTCCAGCACTTAAAAAAAGAAGAAAAAAAACCTTTCATATCTGCTTTCTAAACCTACATGATATGATCTGTCATGTACAAATTTTTATGTGTGAAATTTCAGTTTACTTTTTATAGAAAGAATAAGTTAGGAATGTTACTTTTTCCTGGTTTTTCTACTTTTTTTTAAGTCATTTGTTTAAGTTATCATATATACTCATTTCCTGCGGGCATTTTCACTTATTTTGTGACCTTCGATATTTTCAATTTAACTGGAGTTTCCAGTCATGCAGGATCAAGTGCTCTACAACTGAGCTACAACACAGCTTTTAACCTTTGATTCTGAAGCAGTGTTCCACCAGGTTGTATAGGCTATCCTGATCTCACTTTGTAGCTGGCTTTCAACTTGTGATTCTCCTTGCCTCAGCCTCCCGAATAACTGTGATTATAGGCATGTCCAGTAGGTCCAGCTTTAGTTAGGAACATCCTAAAGGCTCAACTACTGAGTTACTTTACAAGAAGATATTTTGGTAGTATCTGTAATATGGCTGCCTTTTGAAATCTTGCCAATATTGCCTGAAAATTCACTGTGTTTCCTCTCATCGGAAAAAGGGAAAGGTGCCCTGGGAGCACACGTCAGCCATTTGTACCACATTTTATGTTATTTCAGTCAACTTCATTCTTCATAACTTAAGAAGAAGGACCAGGGCTGGAGAGATGGCTCAGAGGTTAAGAGCACTGGCTGCTCTTCTAGCGGTCCTGAGTTCAATTCCCAGCAACCACATGATGGCTCACAGCCATTTGTATTGAGATCTTGTGCCCTCCTCTGGCGTGCGGGCATACATAGAGGCAGAATGTTGTATACATAATTAATAAATAAATCTTTAAAAAAAAAAGAAGAAGGACCAAAGGGGAGGGCTTCTGATTTGAGAAAAAACAAAAGAAGAAGTAAATGACAAAGGCTAGGGAAAGAGGGGTCTCTAAAAAAATCAAAAGCCAGAGGGAGTCGGAGGAAACAAGCTCCACTGGGAGCAGAAGCCAGGAGTAAATTCAGCCCTGGGAGCCAACACAGTCCTGGGACACTGGCAGACCAGGAGTGAGCCAACGACCTGACTCAGAGTCTGCAACCTCCACCGGAACCAGAGTGGGACTGAACCAGTTACTTAAGACACAGAGAGAACAAGCCTCACCAGGAGCAGAAGCCAGAAGCAAACCCAGTCCCGGGACACGGGCAGATTACAATTGAACCAGTGACCAGATCCAGAGTCAGTGATTTCCACCAGAACAGGTCCAACTCCAAGCCAGAGACTTCTGCAGGAGGAGATCCAGACCAGGATTTACAGAAACAGATCAAAGCCAGCAGCCTAGGCAAAGTACGCCTGAGACAGCAAACTCCAAGGAGCAGACCAAAGCACAGGGCACTGAGCTACCTCCAGGAACAGGAATAACCGATGGGGTAACTAGAACTGTGACACTGACTGTACCATGAGGAACAACCACCTGAGCCTTGGATTCACTGGCACCTAGAAGATTATTCAACAGAATTCTCAGACAGCCCCAAACACACCTATTAGAGGAAAAGATGGGTAGAAATGGTAAGATCACATACTACACCAAAAAGCAACACAATACCAGTAAAACCTAAAGACTCTACAAAAGCAAGGCCTGAACAACCAAATATGGATGAACCAGAAGAAAATGATCTAAAAAATAAACTCAAGAGAATGTTTGAAATTCTTGAAGATGAAATGAGAAATTACCTTAAAGAAATGGAGAAAAAAACAAAAAATTAGAAAATATCAGCAAATCACTTAAAGAAAACCAAGAAAAAAAGAACTCAAACATATAAAAGAAACTATTCAGGACTTGAAAACTGAAATAGAAAAAAATAAAGAAAACACAAGCCGAAGGAATTATAGAAACAGAAATCATGAGAAAAAGATCAGGAACCACAAATGCAAGCATGAACAACAGAAGAAATGGAAGAGAGAATCTCAAGCGCTGAAGATACAATAGAGGAAATAAACTCATCAGTTAAAGAAAACATTAAATCTAACAAAAGTTTAACCCAAAATATCCATGAAATATGGGACAACATAAAAAGGTCAAATCTTAGAATAAAAGGTATAGAAGAAGGGCTGGAGAGATGGCTCAGTGGTTAAGAGCATTGCCTGCTCTTCCAAAGGTCATGAGTTCAATTCCCGGCAACCACATGGTGGCTCACAACCATCTGTAATGAGGTCTGCTGCCCTCTTCTGGTCTGCAGACATACAGACAGAATATTGTATACTGTATACATAATAAATAAATAAATAAATAAATAAATATTAAAAAAAAATAAAAACTTTAAAAAAAAAGGTATAGAAGAAGTACAAGTTCAACTCAAAGACACAGAAACTTTATTTAACAAAATCATAGAAGAAAACTTTCCCTACCTAAAGAAAGATATGCCTATGAAGATACAAGAAGCTTACAGAACACCAAATAGCCTGAATCCAAAAAAAAGTCCTCTCGCCTCATAATAATCCAAACACTAACCATACAGAGTAAAAAAAGAATATTAAGAGCTACAAAGGAAAAAGGTCCAGTAACATATAAAGGTAGACCTATCAGAATTACACCTGACTTCTCAGAGGAGACAATGAAAACCAGAAGGTCATGGTCAAGCATTATGCAGACATGAAGAGACCACAGATGTCAGCCCAGACTACTTACTATACCCAGCAAAACAGTCAATCACCATAGAAGGACAAAAAAAAGATATTCCATGACAAATCTAGATTTCACCAATACCTAGCCACAAACCCAGCCCTGTACAAAATATTAGAAGGAAAACGCCAACCCAAGGAAGACGGCTACATCAACAAAAACACAATTGATGATCTCATTATAGCAAATCCCAAAGAAGAAAAAAAAAGCACAAATTAACATCACCAACGATGAAAACTAAATTAACAGGAGATAGCAACCACTGGTCATTAATATCCCTTAATGTAAATGGACTCACCCATAAAAAGGCACAGGCTGACAGATTGGATACGAAAACAGAATCCATCCTTCTTCTGCATACAAGAAATGCATCTCAACCTCAAAGACAGACATTGTCTCAGAGTAAAAGGTTGGGAAAAAATATAACAATCAAATGGACCTAAGAAACAAGCAGGTGTAGCTATCCTAATATCTAACAAAATAGACTTCAAGCTAAAATCAGTCAAAAGAGACAAAGAAGGTCATCTCATATTAGTCACATGAAAATCCATCAAGAGGAAGTTTCAATACTGAACATCTATGCCCCCAATACAAGGGCATCCTCATATGTCAAAGAAACACTTCTAAAGACTAAATTATACATTAAACCCCACACACTAATAGTGGAAGACTTCAACACTCCCCTCTCACCACTGGACAGGTCAATCAGACAAAAAATGAACACAGAAATAAGAGAACTAACAGATGTTATGACTCAAGTGGACTGAACAGACATCTATAGAATATTCCATCCAAACAGAAAAGAATATACCTTCTTCTCAGCACCTCATGGAATCATCTCAAAAATTGACCACATACTCGGTAACAAAACAAACCTCAACCAATACAAAAAAGTTGGAATAACCCAATGTACCTTATCAGATCACCATGCTTTAAAACTAGAAGTCAACAGCAATACCAATTCCAGAAAACCTACAAACACATGGAAATTAAACAATGCTTGCCTGAATCCTCAATGGGTCAAGGAAGAAATAAAGGGGGAAATGAAAGACTTCCTAAAATTCAATGAAAATGACCACACAACATACCCAAATTTATGGGACACAATGAAAGCAGTGTTAAGAGGCAAGTTCATAGCACTAAGTGCCTACATAAATAAGCTGGAAAAATCCCACACTAGTGAATTAACAGAACATTTGAAAACTTCAGAACAAAAAGAAGCAAACTCACCTAAGAGAACTAGATGGCAGGAAATAATCAAAATGAGAGCTGAAATCAACAAAATAGAAACAAATAAAACAATACAAAGAATCAATGAGACAAAGAGTTGGTTCTTGGAGAAAATCAACAAAATAGACAAACCTTTATCCAAACTAACCAAAAGGCAGAGAGAGAACATCCAAATTAACAAAATCATAAATGAAAAGGGGGACATAACAACAGACACGGAGGAAATACAGAGGACCATCAGGTCATATTTTGAAAACCTGTACTCCACAAAATTGGAAAACTTAAAGGAAATGGACAACTTTCTGGATAAATATCACTTACCAAAATTAAATCTAGAACTTAGAAAAATAATTTACACTGGGCAGTGGTGGCACATGCCTTTAATCCCAGCACTCGGGAGGCAGAGGCAGGTGGATCTCTGTGAGTTCGAGGCCAGCCTGGTCTACAAGAGCTAGTTCTAGGAAAGGCACCAAAAACTAGAGAGAAACCCTGTCTTGAAAAACAACAACAACAACAACAACAACAAAATAGTTTACGTTTCAGAGAGGCAGCATGCAATATGCTGAGATTACTGCATTTAGAAACAGATGAACAAGGTTTTGGTTTTAACTTTGCCTCAGACAAATTACTTAAGCACTCTGATTCTCATCTATTCCATATCAAGGTAATATCTATTATATGACTGCTGTCATAATAAATACACATTATTAATTGTATAAACTATATGTATTCTTTAAAAGTAAGAATCCGATGGGCATGGTGGTGCACACCTTTAATCCTAGCATGTGGGAGGCAGAGGCAGGCGGATTTCTATAAATTTGAGGGCAGTCAAAGCTACATAGTAAGACCCTGTCTCAAAACAACAATAGTAATAAAAATAAAGCAAGAAAGTTTATTTTAAATAAACGAAGTTTCACATCTCTTCAACTACTCTTTGAAGTTTCAGTTTCTACTGGTGAAAATTTGTAAAATGATAAAATCAAATTATGGAGAGAAAGTCATTTAAAAAGCTCTCATCTCAGGAAAAAGCAATTTCTAAGTGAAGAAGGAAGCTACAGAGGGAAGCCTGGTGTGTGGGAGCATGCTGGAGCCGACTGGACACGGGTATCAGACTGTTACAAATCTGCTTATGGGTTACAAAACTGCTTAGCGCAGTTTCATAAAAGTAGACGCTGATACCCAAAACAGAGCGACAGTCTTAAAAGACAGTACTCACGTATCTGTGTGGTCGAAAGCCAGGTACTCCTCAATTATTCCTTCAGAAAAGATTATACAGTCCACCTCTCCCCCTTCCGCAGTGGACAAGCCAGAGGGTTTAGTGCTGGGAGATGCTTTATGAGCATAAGAAGATGAAAAATGTAACTTCTTTCCCCTTATACCAAATCTTGGAGAGGGAAGAAAAAGCAGTATTAGTGACATATTAACACAAAACAGCTTTCTCATGGCAAGTAACGTGACTTTTGGAACACACCCCCTTGTCCTGGCAATAGTTTTCTGAACTATTTTAAGTTTTTTCTTTCTCCAGTGCTGAAGGATTGCACTCAGTACTTTGGTCATGCTAGGTGACACCGCCTGGCTCTGATGGGCACTTCTCTCTGATGCTGATGCTGAGCATCTTCTCTCACACCTGACGGCATTCGCATACCTTTGGAGAACCAGCTGTTCATGTCCTCTCTCCACTTTCAGTTAGGCTGTTGTTGACTTTCTGAATTGTAGAAATAGTTTGCCTTGTAGATATTAATCCTTATTAGGCATATGATTTGTCAACACTTTATCCTATTGTATATATTCTCTTCTTCTTTTGATTATTTGTACACAGGAATTTGACCACTTTTTTGCTTTTGCCTCTGACATTACATCCTAGAAATCACTGTCAACTCTGTCCTGGAAGCACCGCCTGTGTTTAATTGTATGCTTTTTGTTTTGTGTATACCATGGTAGGGGCTGACTTCAGTAACTAGGTGGTGGAATTTAGTTTCTCAAAAGGATCCATTGAAATATGTATTTAAAATAATATAGATGGCAGTGGAACACACCTTTAATCCCTGCACTCAGGAGGCAAAGGCAGGGAGATACCTGTTAAGTTTGAGGCTATCCTGGTCTATATAGTGAGTTCCAGGCCAGTCAGGGCTACATAATGAAACCTTGTCTAGACACAAGCTTTAAATCAGCCCAAAACAGAAGAATTATCTCTGCAAACTCAATTTTTCATGTTTTCATGCTTGTGCTTCTGTAACCTAACACCATTTTCTAATACTTAACTCCCCGGACTACCATTTTGACCTACACACTACTATCTGTGTTATATGACAATCTTGTTTGAAACCATAACCTCAATTTATATATTAATCTGTTTTTTTGTGTACTCTGTTATCATGTAAATATTTTATGTTCTATTTAGATTAAAAAATAAGTCAGGCGGTGGTGGTGCACAGCTTTAATGCCAGCACTTGGGAGGCAGAGGCAGGTGGATCTCCATGAGTTCGAGGCCAGCCTGGTCTACAAGAGCTAGTTCTAGGACAGGCACCAAAAACTAGAGAGAAACCCTGTCTCGAAAATCCAGCAGCACCAGCACACACTTCAGGATCTAGGCTTTAGCTCCTCTGTGCTATCATTCTCCACAGGAACCATCGCTATGCACTGGAGACTCAAGTGCTTGCATTACAGCATACTTACATGGTAGAGTCTCTCTCTTGAGACAAGGTTGCTTCATGTGAAGTTGACACAGCAGAAGGTGATCGAGGGTACAATCCATAGCCTTCACTTGGAGTGATTATCTGCCTACCTAGAATCCTTCCAACGAAGAAGAGACACAGTAAAGTACCTTCACTTGGCACACATACATGCTAAGTCTGAGCATTTCATCACCAAATCTGATCCCACAGATTTAGTCAGATACTGGTTAAGAATGACTCTTGAGAGGAAATGTGAATTATTACTCAGGTATATTCCCCTTTACTAGAATATATATGGAAAAGATAAAGCTATGCCCAGGAGTCTAAAGAAAAGTCCACGAGAAGTTAAGGATGTAAATGCAGTGGTAGAACACTTGGCCCTGGGGTCAATCATCAACACGCACTGCACACCCTCCCCCAACCCCACGAGAGGATGAAGGGTCAGCCAATTAGTGACAACTATGAATCTCATTCTTTCTTTTAAAATGATTTATTTTATTTCATGTATTGGTGTTATGTCTGCATGTATGCTTATGTGAGGGGGTTGGATCACCTGGAACTGGAGTTATAGAGTTGTGAGCTGCCATGTGGGTGCTGGGAATTGAACCTAGCTCAAGCAGCCAGTGCTCTTAATCGCTGAGTCATCTCTCTAGCCCATGAATCATGTTCTTAATAACATTAAACAGAAATTTCAGTACATACAGTCATGGTACTATGGTGGTTTCTCAGGAAATGTATGTATGTATGTCCTTTCAAATACACAAGAATTACTTGTAGACAGTGGTATAAAAAAACATTTTCTGGCCATTTTGTTCAAAAGAAAGGCTTATGTCTACAATCCCAGGCCCTTGGAGGTGAAGAGTAGAGGAGGATCAGAAGTTAAAGATCATCAGCTCACATGTAAAGATCAATGCCTGGGGCTGGAGAGATGGCTCAGGGGTTAAAAGCACTTTCTGCTCTTGCAGAGAACCAGGTTCAGTTTCCAACATCTCCATGGCAGTTCACAACTGTTTGTAACTCCAGCTCTAGGGCTCTGGCCTCCAAGGGCACCAGGCATATGTGCAGTACATATAAATACATGTAAGAAAAACACAACAGAAAAAAAGAGAAATTTTCTTTTTGAGACAAGATCTCGCTAAGTAGCTCTGGCTGTCTTGGAACTTAATGTATAGGCCAAGGTACATAAAACTCATAATGATTAAAGGTGTGCACTATCACACCCAGCCAAGAAAAAATATTTTTTTAAAAAAGAAAGTTCAAGGCCAGGCAAACCTGGGCTATCTGAGACTTTGTTTCACACACGTACAAGTAGATCTTAAAAACTTTTGCATTGCACCAAGGAGACAGAGGCAGGCAGATAAATGAGTTCAAGGCCAGCCTGTCACACACACAAAAAAGTTTGCTTAATTAGAATAATGTGTTGGCATGTTGGTGATTAGGGTAAGTCTAAAAACTTCTACTAATTTGAGTATTCTTTCAGCTGAGGTCTTATACAACATGGCTTTAGATAATTTTATCAAAGTTGTGTCCATTAGAATAAAGAAACAAACAAACAAACAAACAAAAAAGCGTGCTCAGGCCAGGTAAGCCTTTAAATCCCAGTGCTCTGGAGACAGAGGCAGGTGGATCTCTGTGAGTCAAGTCCAGTCTGCTCTACAGTGAGTTCCTGGCCAGCCAGGGTTTCATAGTGAGACCCTATCTCAAAAAAAAAAAAAAAAAAAAAAAAAAGAGAATAAAATCCAAAGCTCATACATGTTCAGAATTCCAGATCTGAGATGCCCACAGTCTAGACTGTAGCCTTGTCTGGTACCTGAGGTGAGGAAAGCTGGATGCCCACTGCTGGCACTCTTTCTGCAGACTCTGTGTGTGCACACTCGGCTTCTGCTCGTACAGGAGCTCATCGATGGCGGTGAACATGGCCTGCACTTTCTCAGTGGCATTTTGGTCAAGTTCCTAGAAACAACATTTAGATGAGCTATTTTTTTTTTTGTTTTTGTTTTTCGAGACAGGGTTTCTCTGTGGTTTGGGAGCCTGTCCTGGAACTAGCTCTTGTAGACCAGGCTGGTCTCGAATTCACAGAGATCCACCTGCCTCTGCCTCCCAAGTGCTGGGATTAAAGGCGTGAGCTATTAAGAATGTATTTTGGTGAACTTCTGTACAGTCACATTAGCTATTCTGAACCTGAAGGGCTTCACATTTGATTCAATACCTTCCCTATCAAATATATTTTTATGCAATCAGGAGCCATAGGGATGTATAGACTTTGTGTCAGATTAATTTCAGTGTCTGACTTAGCCAAGTTTTTTGTAATAAAGTTTTAATTTAAAAAATCTGTACAATTCTCTAGAGAAGGAGTACCAGTGGATAACACTAAATTTTCTATCCATTTTAAGCTGCTCTTAAAAATGCTATAATAAGGGGCTGGAGAGATGGCTCAGCGGTTAAGAGCATTGCCTGCTCTTCCAAAGGTCCTGAGTTCAATTCCTGACAACCACATGGTGGCTCACAACCATCTGTAAAGAGGTCTGGTGCCCTCTTCTGGCCTGCAGACATACACACAGACAGAATATTGTATACATAATAAATAAATAAATAAATATTTTTTAAAAATGCTATAATAAATATATTTATTTCAGTCCAGCGATTAGGCTTAGTGGGTAAAGGCACTTGCTGCCAGGCTCAATCCCAGTGAATTGAGTTTAAATCCCAGGACCATAAGTGAAAGGAGAGAACTGGCATCCACAAGTTGTCTTTTTTTTTTTTAAAGATTTTATTTATTTATTTATTTATTTATTCTTTTTCTTTCTTTTTCTTTTTTCAAGACAGGGTTTCTCTGTGTAACAGTCCTAGCTATCCTGGAACTCACTTTGTAGACCAGGCTGGCTTTGAACTCATGGAGATCTTCCTGTCTCTGCCTCCCAAGTGCTGGGATTAAAGGTGTGCACCACCACTACCACCCAGCAGATTCATTGATTTTTATGTGGTATGTTCCTGCATGTGTGTGTGAAGCTGCCAGATCTCCCAGAACTGGAGCTACAGATAGTTGTGAGCTGCCATGTGGATGCTGGGACTTGACCCCTGGTCTTCTGGCAGAGCAGACAGTGCACTTAACCACTGAGCCATCTCCCCAGCACTACCACAAGTTGTCTTCTGACCTCTACATGCATGCCATGGCATTTGCACCTGACACAGACACAGAGAAACACACACACACACAAGAGCAGAGGGAATATTTTAATCTCTAGCACTGAGAAATAAAAAAATTAAAAGCAATCAAACTGAGAAACTGTTTTCTATAAAAGGAAAGTTAAACTGGGGAGTTTCCATCTCCAGGAACTTTCAGGTGTTTCTGACTCTCTTTATAAGGACAACTTACAGAAATACTTTTTTTTTTTTTAATTTGTGTTTCAAGCCCTGGCTGTCCTGGAAGCTCTGCAGACCAGGCTGGCCTTGAACTCACAGAGATCCACCCACCTCCTGAGAGCTGGGATTAAAGGTATGTGCCACTACATCTGGCCAGAAATACATTTTGAAAGTAATTTAGAAATTAATTCTAAAAATTCATTGTACACCAAGCACCTAAAGGAAAGCAAGGGATGGGAAACACGTACACAACGTTCGGAACCTAAAGCCACTGATCACAACACGGGGTGGCAGGACTGTTTACTCAGCTCACCAGGAATAAAGTTTAATCCCCACCCCACCCCTGCAAGGCTCCACTGCCAAGTCATGCTCTTCTGCCCCTGTTATTTACATTTCCTCCCTAGGTTCCCATCTTGGACCTCTTCTACACACCCATCTTTTCTTCAGTCCCAAGAATGTTTACCTTTGAAATATGAGTTTCTTCTCTTAGCACCCCTTTACTTTAACATTATTTCTCTATTTATGTGTCTGTACCTGTGCATGCACACTGGCCAGGAGGACAAGGGTATTAGGTTTTCTCTTCCATCACTCTGTGCCTGTTCCTGAGGCAGGGTCTCTTCCTGAGTCTGAGTCTGCAGTTTGAATCTCAGCTAAGATGCAAACTATCAAGTCCCAACAATCTTCCTGTCTTCACCCCATCAGAGTTGAGATCACAGGCATTTGAGAGGACACCTTGACTGCTACATGGATGCTGGGATCCAAACACTGGTGGTCCTGATGACAGTAACCACTGAACCATCTTGCCATCCCCACTTCTGGGGCTCTTGCAGAGCTGCCATTATTTGTCTGAGAAGTGCTTGTTCTTTTTCTTCACATGGTAACCTCTGCAGTCCTTAAATCTCAGCCTACTGGACAGATAATGCTAGAGTCTCAGGGAAACTCCTCCTATAACACTGTTCCAATATCCCGCCGGAGCACTTTGTCACTCTGCACTCTCCATCCCTTGGGCAGTCTCCTCATTAGACGACTGAACTATGTAAGTCTCACTCCATATCCTAGTAACTACAGCAACAGACAGATATGATCAAAATATTCTTGAAGAAACTAATAAACCCTGAAAACCCAAATATTAAAAAGGGACGATCTAATTATGATAGGCTAACACCAAGAACTATTATATATACACTATTCTAGTTGACAGATGTGGAGGTAATAATAAACACCACCATTAACAATGACAAATGACAAAATTAGACTACAAAATAGTATGCACATACATATAACCAAGGAAAATATACATACATGAAAAACTATTGGGAAGTGATTAATGATAATAATGATAGGTTTAAACAATTAGGCTTTTCTGTAGAGAGAGCAGCTAACTGTTGTTTAAAATCAATACAGTGGGGGCTGGAGAGATGGCTCAGTAGATTAAGGTTCCTGTCTCCAAAGGCTTGCACCTGAGTTCAAGTCCCAGAACCTATGTAAGATGGAATTTGAGAAACAGCTTCACAAAGTTGTCCTATAGTCTCCTGCCATGGATCATGATACCAGCAGCCACACACACATAAAATGCATACATGCACACACAACATTTTCTAAAAAAACAAATAAGCCATGCAATAGTGGCACATGCTTCTAATCTCAGCACTCGGGAGTCTGAGAGATAGGTAAGTCTTTATGAGTTTGAGGCCACCTTGGTCTCTGTTCCAGGCCAGCCAATGCTACCTAGTGGGACATTTTTTTTTTTTTTTTTTTGAGACAGGGTTTTTCTGTGTAACAGCTCTGGTTGTCCTGGAACTTGCTCTGTAGACCAGGCTGGCCTTAAACTCACAGATATGCACCTACTTCTGCCTCCCAAGTGCTAGGATTAAAGGCGTGTGCCACCACCTTCTGGTTGGAACCTTGTCTCAAAACAACAAATAAAACAGCTGGGCATGGGGTCACATGACTTTAATCCCAGCACTGAAGAGGCAGAGATCAGTGGATCTCTGTGTTTCAGGCTAGTCTGGTCTACATAGTAAGTTCCAGGACAGTCAAAAATACCTTGTCTCAAAAAACAATAAATAAATAAGTAAGTAAGTAAATAAGGTGAAAGTGATCAAGGAAAAGCACACATTCATACAAGGCAACAAGGCAAGCACACTCCTACACAGCAAACACGTGTGCATACAGAGTGCGAAGAGTGCAGGAATGGCAATTCCTGAGGAGCTCCAAGAGTCTTCCCAGAACTGCAGCAGAATGATTAGTAGACAACTCACACCATATCCCCAAGAGAAGTCGGAGCTGCCTTCTGTAGAGATCCCTGTGCCTGCATAGCTTGGAAAAGCAGAACGCGAGTTCCCGGTGTCAGTTGATGTAAACGGTGATTCTTGGGTGATGTCAGACTCACTAAATGGTTAATTTGAGAGGAAGGGAGAAGAAAAAAAAAGAAAGAAAAATTTCACGTTTCCTCAGCAACTTATCAGGTGGTAAACATGTGTACAATATATCTGTAGAGGCAAAAATTGACTTGGAATTCAAGCACTGTGAAAAGCCCACCTCGCAATACAGAAACGACGGCAGCTGTGCTGCTCAGTGTCCACCGGTGACGTCACGGTTTACCACTGGAGGTAGTTCAGAAATGGTGACAGGACGTCTGAACTCGGTGAGTTCCTGTAATTCCCCAAGTGCATGCACAGATACCCACCTCATTAAACCCTTGCTACTGTAACCTGCTAATGCAGTTCTAATGAACTCTCTTTAAAATTCAAGGAATCTCACTTTTATTTCCAGGTGTGAAACTAGATTTGACTTTACAGTGTCTCCTACGACAGCACACTGTCCTTCAGAACCCTCCTCGAAGCCGGTCTGTTTCTTAGGAGCTGCAGTTATTATTTACTCTGTATCATATATGACAAACATGTGACACTTTACATACTTCATCTGATTTATATTTACAAGACCGTATGAGAGATGCTGATAATGTCTTTTTTTTTTTTTTGGCCAAACCAACGAAAGATCTGTCAGTTTACTGACTGGTTTCCAAAGAGCCAGCTTCTCACTGCTGGTTTTCTTTTTCTTTTTTCAGTTTTTCGAGACAAGGTTTCTCTGTAGCTTTGGAGCCTGCCCTGGAAAACTCATTTGCCCACTGTTACTCAGCTTATAAATGGCAGGAATAGAATTAAAATCAAATGTCTGATCCTCCTTTGAATCTAATTACTTAACAACTACATATTACTTCTGATGGGTAGGAGAGATGTCTCTGAAGCTAAGAGTGTGAACTGCTTTCCAAGAAGATCCAAGTTCAGTTCTCAGCATGCATGTTAGGCAGCTCATAGGGGAACCTGACCTCTAGCCTCTGCTAGTAACTGCAGTCATCTGTACAGACTCACACATACAGAGGCTGGCTTTGCAAGTCTGAGCTCCAGCAAGCCTCCTGCCTCAGGTTCTCATACAGATAAAATTCTTGTTTTGTTTCACTAGCATAGGCGTGGTCCTAATGAACAAAATCCTTGCCATTATCAAGTGCAATAAGTAAGCAAGCATGCTTTGAGCTAGTACCTTTGAGAACTTGTATCTTTTTCATGGCCGTCATTGGTAGAGGAAATGTCATCCAGTTGCTCTGGAAGGGGATGATGGTTAAGAGCATGCTTTGTTATTCCTTTCCTGTGAAAGATAAAACAGTCTTCTTTTATAGTTGGCATTCCCTAAGTCATTGGCTCACGATTACTTATTCTCTCTGTGTGTGCATGTGAAGAGTGAGACCAATTTGTGAGAGTTGGTTCTTTCCGTCTACCATGTTAATCCCGCGAACTGAACTCTGTTGTCAACCTTGGTAAGCAACTGCTTTTACATGCTGAGCCATCTTGTTAGCCCCAAGTAAAAATACACTTTTTAAAAAATTTATGTGTATGTGTTTGTGCCTGAGTGAGTCTGTGGTGCACACAGGTGTCAGACCTTCAGGAACTTGAGTTCCAGTCAACTGAGACCCCTGACACGGGTGCTGGGAACTAAACTAAGATCCTCTGCAAGAACAGTAAGTACTCTTAACTTCTGAGCCATCTCGCCAGCCGAATATACTTTTAAATCATGTCCACCGTTAGAGAGAAAAGTTAAAGTGCAATCCACTAACTGGGATCTTAGTTTTATGTACAAATATGGTACGATTCACTAAAATCCCAAACTGGGAATCCTTGGAGCCAGACTACCTAGATTTGAACACTGGATTCATCACTTAATAACTGTATTATCACAAGCAGTTATTTAATCCTGTGCTTCACGTGACATACGGGTACCAGGGATTATGAAGTGCATTTGTACATGAAAGGCCTGGGAAGATTCCCTGAAAAGAAACTTGTAAAACTCTGTCTAACTCGTCAAGTTTCCTGAATGTATTTTGTGGGGAAATGATGCCTACCATAGATTATTAGTTCTGGAAGATATAATAACTGACATAGTCTATTTATTTCAGTGGACAAACACAGCAGAATATAGGTTCCAGAGGGGCAATGTCCAACGGAAATATGATAAAAAAAACTATGAATGTCAGGTCATCACACCTGGCTTAGATGTTTATTTTGAATTTTTCATTCCCATGAAATGAGATACACGCTGGGAATGTAGCTCAGCAGTAGAGCTTTCCAGCATATGTGAGACACTAAGTTCATTCCCAGCACCAAAGAAAGGGGATGGGTGTGGAAGGCTGTATGTGTGAGTACTTTTGTTAAACTCTTTACAACACATATACTTAGTACCCTGTTGGAAAGCTGTTTGAAGCTACTGCTTGAAAATGGATTATCACTGTAACACCTAAAGTAAAAAAACTCATTTTAATTTACTATCATTTATAAGCATTTAATCCTCGTCCACTCCATTTGGATCCCCTTTTGGAAACGTTACTTTTAGGAACTATCAAAACTGCAAAATGTATTTTTAACTTCTCTGGTTAGAATTAATTATGAAAGCAAATTTGGGGCTGATGAGATAGCACAGTAGGGAGAGGTACTTGCCACGAAGCCTCAGGACCCGAGTTCAATCTCCAAGACCCACAAAATGGAAGGAGTGACTCTTATAAGCTGGTACATACGCACACATACACACACTGAACGGAATTTTAAAAACTAAAGGCAGATTTTAAGCCAAATCCTTTTGGGAAATGACTATTTCTTATTCTTATTCCCTAAGGAGTTTATTGCCCGATTTGCTGTGGTGGCAATAACATACTCCTCAGTGGATGGCATGCTCATGGAAAGCAGGGTGTTCTTTTTCTTTCTTTCTCTCTCTTTTTTTTTTTGGTTTTTCGAAACAGGGTTTCTCTGTAGCTGTGGAGCCTGTCCTGGAACTAGCTCTTGTAGACCATGCTGGGCTCGAACTCACAGAGATCCGCCTGCCTCTGTCTCCCGAGTGCTGGGATTAAAGGCATGCGCTACCACCCCCGGCTTGCGTTTTTTTCTCTGTATGACTCTTGCACTAAGTAAAGGTGGGAAGAGGCAAGGTGATTATTACAACTTATTGAGGACCTACTGTCGGGGCCATGCAAGGGGACCAATAAGTAACATTGGAACTCATGGACCACAGCAGGGTGGTTGGCAAAGCCATGCCTGAATGAGCCTTGGAGAGGCAAAGCCCAGAGGACTATGTGTCCTGAGGACCTCATGCTATTATTGAGCATAGTTCTGACTGTGGCCTTTGTGTTCACCACATCCCTCATAATCTATGTGTTGTATGAAAACTCTTCAGGGGGTTTCTAGCCCCTCACTGGGCAGCGTTACTAGTATTAATAGTGATTGGCTTTTTCCAAGTATTCCTGTTGGAGCAGATCAATGATTCAACTACTACCCTTAGAAAGAATTTAGACATGTAGATTAGTAAGATTAGGCTAAAATGTTTTTGTTAATGGCTTGAGGTACAAATCTCGGGGAACAGTTTAAAGTTTATAAAGACACATTTTTAACAGTTGAACATGGGACTTGCTGAGGTCAGAGAATAGGAACCATGGGAGCCTGGCTATTGCTGGCTAACATACCTTTCCTGCTAGGATGGTTTGGTGATCAAAGGTGATGATTAATTCCTTGTACCAGCCAGGCGGTGGTGGTGCACACCTTTAATTCCAGCACCTGGGAGGCAGAGGCAGGCGAATCTCTGTGAGTTCAAGGCCAGTCTACAAGAGCTAGTTCCAGGACAGGCTCCACAGCTACAGAAAAACCCTGTCTCGAAAAACAAAACAAAACAATTCCTTGTGCCCATTTCTGCCCTCAGCTTCCTGATATAAAAACTGAGGATTTACAGTGGAGCTGACTGTTTTTCATACACAAATGTTTAGATTTGTAGTTTTTTTTAAAAATAAAGTTACCTTTTGAGATAAATAATAAAGTGACTGGTCCTCTTTTTTGTAACCACAAAATGCAGCTGGCAGCAAAGGAACTGGCTAAGAAAAATACCTTGCTGTTCATCTACAACAAACCGCTTGAATATGAATGTACGTGGGTTCTTGGGACAACTTGTTTTTCACCTGTAATATGTAAAATGTTTACTCATATAAACCTGCTTTTTTTTTAACTTGTATTCATTGTAATCATTCACTTAAAAAATAGAATGAAGCTACATTGTAATTTTTATACTGCTTGAAAGATTTTGCTGGGGTATATAAGCTGAAAGAGAAAAAAATAAATTTAGTTAGAAGGAAAAAAATAAGAATAGACAGAAGGGAAAATCAGGGTAGAATAACAGAACAGAAAAAGAATAGAAGCCGGGCGATGGTGGCGCACGCCTTTAAACCCAGCACTCGGGAGGCAGAGGCAGGCGGATCTCTGTGAGTTCGAGACCAGCTTGGTCTACAGAGCTAGTTCCAGGACAGGCTCCAAAGCCACAGAGAAACCCAGTCTCGAAAAACCATAAAAAAAAAAAGAACAAACAACAATTAAAATAATAAAATGAAGAACTAAGCTTGGCCCTCGGAAAAGTCCTCGTGTGGCTGTTTGACTGTACAGTAGCTTGCATGCCCTGCATCTCCTCTTCGGTTCCTCTGACCTGCTAAAGGCTTGCCGTTCATCAGTACCCTAGGGGAGATCCTGACATGTTGGAGGTGCGTGTGTTTCCCTTTTTTTCTGCCCCAGAGAGTTAAATTTTGCCCATCCTGCTGGCCCCAGAGAATTAAGTTTTACTCCCTCAGATAGACAGATATTAAAGTCAACTGAGATCAACTCTGTGGATCTCCCTCAATCCCTGAAGCTGCCCGGGGTATGCCATCATTTTAGGGATGCTTGTAAGTATTACTTGTATATATTGACAGGACAGGAAGGCCCAGATTTCATAAATTGCCCAAAAGCTACACAGCAAGAAAAGCGTCCATCCAAAATCTCAGGTGTGACTTTAAATTAGCATGCATAGCTAAAATTTAGTTAAGTGCATGGCTGCTGAAATTACTTAGGTCAGTGAAGTGGAACAATGGGATTTGGCTTTTTAAAAATTCGGACTCTATTTGCTTAAGATGTGGAACCTTTCTAATTTCGTCTGAGAAACAGAAACTAGTTATGGCCATCTTTCAGAATCGTTGAAAGAGTAAAGAAACTGAAGGTTCTTCTGAAATCGCAACATGCCAGGAAGGCATTATCGTTACCTGCCAAGTCACAACATTTTACTAAGCGTACAAAGCAGGTCTTTAAGCTACAAGTGCTTGCTTTTTAGTCCACAAACAAAACTGATCATTATTTGCCGGGGGTGTGAAGGCAGTGTGTGTGTAAAGTCTTGACAACAGGCTTTCGAATTGGACTGCCACTTGGTTTGTACTTCTCAGCTGCACCATCTTCTAGATACAATCTTTAGATCTGTTATCTTTAGCTGCAGATGTGCCAAGTCGGTCTCCTGGTTTCGCTAATGCATTCAAGCAAACAGCTTTGCAAAGTGTTTGGAACTAGACACGTTCAACTTTATTGTAGCATTCAGCTATTATCTTCAGTGGGGCCAGAAGCACTGTGGGAACATTAAGTGCTTCTGGATATCCATTCCCTCAATTCACGTAGTAAACAGCACAAAAAACAGTCTTAGGACAGCAAGGATGGCACACTCTCCGCTGGTGACCCAAGGACAAGAGACAGCTTCCACCAGGGTTGGGAGAAGAGAATACTATTTTCTCTCACGAGCCCTGGGAAAGGAAAGGGGAGAAGGACTGGCCAAGGAAGGGTCCCTAGAGCTCCCGCGGCCCAGGCAGGGCGGGCTGAGCCATCCACTCACAGCTCCACGCTCTGTGGCACGGCCTTCCGAGTGTATCTGGAGATCATCCTCCGTTTTCTCCTCCGCGGCCGGGGCGGGCAAGCCAGGGCGGGGGCCTCGGGGCCTGGCCCTCCCGCCAGCTCCGGCCCAGCCCCTTCCTGCCACCTACCGGCCCCGTCTCGCCCCGTCTCGCCCCGTCGCCTAGATTCCGGACCGCCACTTCCCAGAGTTCCCACTCTAAAGTCTTCCGACCTGCCTCCTTCCTCTCAAGAGCGGAAGTGACGGACTAATACAGCAAGGTGCAGAAACTGGCTCCGATGCTCATTAGTGGCTACGTAGACTCATCTCTTCCAAGTTTCCAGCAGCGGCTCAGGGCCCAAGCGGAGGGGACCCACCGTGGGTTGGACTTGAGCGATTGATGCTATCTTCTGACCAAGTGTCCTAGTGGAAGAGGCGGCCAAGGAAAGGTGCCAGAGCAGAGGCCCTCAGGGCCTCTAATCGTTAAAGGAATTGCTTAGCCTTTGTCGGGTAGAAGATGGGAGTCTAGTTTGATTAAAGAGTTCTAGACCGCCGCAAGTTGTGCTCTTCGGTTGCTTCATTCTGTGCGCTCAGGTTTGTCATTTGTGTTGTGATCTTTAACCCGAATGATCTCAAATTCAATTCAGACCCTGTAAATGCTGCATGAGGACTCCTGCTTGGGTTAGTGAGAGGATGGGTAGAATTTTTCCTCGACCCTCCGGGTTGAAAGGCGGCATAATTCTAATTTACCGTGGTGAGCGGGTAGTTGCATAGAAGATGCAGGTTCCTTAGTATAAGAATCAAATCACAAGCCGGGCAGTGGTGACGACCGCCTTTAACCCAGCACTCGGGAGGCAGAGGCAGGCGGATGTCTGTGAGTTCGAGGCCATCCTCGTCTACAAGAGCTAGTTCCAGGACAGGCTCTAAAACTACAGAGGAACCCTGCCTTAAAAAAAAAAAAAACCAAACAAACAAAAAACAAAAACATACAACAACAAACAAAAAAAGAAATCACTGCATCAGGCGGGCAGCGGAACCATGGCAAATTATTTTGGGACGAAATGGTAGCACACAAATGTTTATAATTTTAAATCTTCTATAGACTTAAATTTTGTAAAGTGAGAGGCTTGCTCCCCCCGCCCCCAGGGCAGGGTTTCTCTGTGTAACAGCCCTAGCTGTCCTGGAACTAGCTCCACTTCTGCCTCCCTAGTGCTGGGATTAAAGGTGTGCGCCAACACCGCCCGGCTTGATAACATAGTTTTGAAGTAATGAGGTGTTTTAGAGATGGGATAATACTTCCGCTCCACAATTAACGAGAAGACTCAAAGAAAGAAAGTGCCCAAAGTATGCAATAGAAGCACAGATGGAAGTTTTGAGAGTAAATAGTGGATTAGTAATGTAATATTTTCAAATTGTGTTACACATACTGCTACTAATTTAAGGACAAAACATTTCATTTGTTGGTGAGACAGGGCCTTGCTATGCTATCCTTGAACTCCTGGACCCTAGTGATTCTCTTGCCTCAGGATGAGACAGTAGGCACACCCATTGCACTTAGCTATTTTTAATTTTTATTTTTACATACTTACTTGGTAATTGGGAAGTGCACTGTTGGGTCTCCATTCACTCTATAATGTCAAGGTTTCCAATTAACATAATTTAAGTATAAGAAACACGGTTTTAAGTATTAATGGCATTCAGAGATTATAGGTCAAGTGGTGTCTGATGAATACCAAAACCATGAAGATGGTAGGTAAGTGCATATCAAAGTTTTGGGAAATAGTGCAGTCACATAAAAGCATTTGGGGAATGCTGTTATTTCTCCTTCTATGTGGCTTATATCACTGAAACTTTGAATGTCATTTTCAAAGAATGGAGGCCAATATGAAGCTTGCAGTGCTAGAAGATGCTGTGGAGTACTGTCTGTTCCTGATGCCAGATGAAGCAAGAGACACAGAAGAACCCAAAGAGATTCTTCAAAAGTACATTGAAAGAATAATGACCCACTTTGCACCTATACTGGTGCCTTATATCTGGCAGAATCAGCCTTTTAATCTCAAATATAAACCTGCCAAAGGTAAAGTAATCCTTCCATTTGCTGTTGTCAAAGAGGTTTACACCTATAACTTTTAAAATTAGTGATGTTTGCCCATATCCATGCAAGCCCCTAAATTTAAATATATACCGTATAGATCAGAATGTGGGGATTGTGGCTGTTGTGAACTTTAGTTATGATGCCGTACTGCACAGGTCCAGGTTTACTGTTTCTTCACTCATGGTTCCTTTTTACTACTCAGTGCTTGACGTTCATTGTTAATGCGGTACATTGCATTGATTGAATTCTTAAATTTTTATTTATTTTATGTGCATGGGTGTTTGCCTGCATGCATGTCTGTGCACTGTGTTCATAGTGCCCTCAGAGGTCAGAGGAGGACATCAGATCCTCCTCTGATACAGAGGATTGTGGTAACCACTGAGCCATCTCTCCAGCCCCCTTATTGATTGATTTTTATATTATGAATCATCTTTGTAGTCTAAGAATAAATCCCACTGAATTGTAGTATTATAACCCTTTTAATGTGTTGTTGAATTTTATTAGTAAGCTTCTCATTGTTGTGACAAACATACCTGAGAAAAATCAGCTTAAAACTTATTTTAGGGGGCTTATTTTAGTACAGGCTGGCCTCAAACTCACAGAGATCTGCCTGGCTCTGCCTCCCTAGTGCTGGGATTAAATGTGTGCGCCACCGCCGCCCAGCAACAACACAGTTTTTTTTTTTTTTTTTTTTTTGAGACAGGGTTTCTCTGGTTTTGGAGCCTGTCCTGGAACTAGCTCTTGTAGACCAGGCTGGTCTCGAACTCACAGAGATCCGCCTGCCTCTGCCTCCCGAGTGCTGGGATTAAAGGCGTGCGCCACCACCGCCCGGCTAACAACACAGTTTTACACTCACACAACCTTTTGTTTGCTTTCAAAGACGGTTTGGTTGTCTGATCCTTGTTTTAGACCCAAACTCCTAAGAAATTCACATTTCATATCTTTTTCAGAATTGCAACCCCAGCTCCCAAATAATTCTTTTTTTTAATTGATATTTATTAAGCTCTACATTTTTCTCTGCTTCCCTCCCTGCTGGTCCCCTCCCCACTTCAGTCCTCCCCCAAGGTCTCCATAATCCCAATTTACTCAGGAGATCTTGTCTTTTTATACTTTCTACTTTCTACTTCCCATGTAGATTTGATCTGTGTAAGTCTCTCTTAGTGTCCGCATTGTTGTCTAAGTTCTCTGGGATTGTGGTTTCTAGGCTGGCTTTTTTTGCTTTATGTTTAAAAACCACCTGTGAGTGAGTACATGTGATAATTATCTTTCTGTGTCTTGGTTACCTCACTCAAAATAATGTTTTCTAGCTCCATCCATTTTCCTGCAAAATTCAAGCTGTCGTTATTTTTTCTTCTGTGTAGTACTCCATTGTGTAAATGTACCACATTTTCCTTATCCATTCTTCGGTCAAGGGGCATTTAGGTTGTTTCCAGGTTCTGGCTATGACAAAGCTGCTATGAACATGGTTGAGCACATGTCCTTGTGGCACAATTGAGCATCCTTTGGATATATGCCCAAAAGTGGTATTACTGGGTCTTGAGGAAGGTTGTTTCCTAATTTTCTGAGAAATCGCCACACTGACATCCAAAGGGGCTGTACCAGCTTGCACTCCCACTAGCAATGCAGAAGTGTTCCCTTTTCTCCACAACCTCTCCAGCATAAGTTGTCATCAGTGTTTTTGATCTTGGCCATTCTTTCAGGTTTAAGATGGAATCTCAGAGTTGTTTTGATTTGCATTTCTCTGATGACTAAAGATGTTGAACATTTCCTTAAGAGTCTTTCAGCCATTTTAGATTCCTCTGTTGAGAGTTCTCTGTTTAGGTCTGTACTCTGTTTAGATTTTTTATTGGATTATTTGTTCTTTTGATGACTAATTTCTTGAGTTCTTTGTATATTTTGGAGATCAGATCTCTGTCTGATGTGGGGTTAGTGAAGATCTTTTCCTATTCTATAGGCTGTTGTTTTGTCTTGTTGACTGTGTCCTTTGCTTTAGAGAAGCTTTTCAGTTTCAGGAGGTCCCATTTATTAATTGTTTCTCTCAGTGTCTGTGCTGCTGGGGTTCTATTAGGAAGTGGTTCCCTATACCAATGCGTTCAAGTGTACTTCCCACTTTCTCTTCTATAAGGTTAAGTGTGGCTGGCTTTATGTTGAGGTCTTTGATCCATTTGGACTTGAGTTTTGTGCATGGTGATAGATACGGGTCTATTTTCATTCTTCTACATGTTGATATCCAGTTATGCCAGCACCACTTGTTAAATGTGATTTCTTTTTTCCATTTTATATTTTTTGCTTCTTTTTCAAATATCAGGTGCTTGAAGATGTTTGGATTGATATCCAGGTCTTCTATTTGGTTCCATTGGTTCTCCTGTCTGTTCTTATGCCAATACCAGGCTGTTTTCAGTACTGTAGCTCTGTAGTAGAGTTTGAAGTCAGGGATTGTGATGCCACAAATAATTCTTGGAAGTCATTCAGTGGTTAGTTATCGAATACTTATGTCTACTTCCTTGCAGTGTTACACATGCCTGGGTTGTGATCACTTCTCTCTTGTTTATAGGAGGTGTTCCTGCCCATATGTATGGCATGACAAAGTTTGGAGATAACATTGAGGATGAATGGTTTATTGTTTATGTAATAAAGGAGATTACAAAGGTATTTCCAGAGTTAGTAGCAAGGTAATGTAATTATTTTAATTATTCTAAACAAATTCTCATTTTAAAGCTTAAGTGATTATATTTGTGTTCTTTTATTAATTTTTGTCTGAAGTCTGGTAGAATACACACACAGGCGCACACACATTTTAAAGACAGTCTCATTGTATAGTCCTGGATGGTCTGGAACTTGATGTGTAGGTCAGACTGACCTTGAACTCACAGAGATCCACCTGCCAGTGCCCTGTCAGTGCTGAGATTAAAGGTGTGTACCACCTTAACTGCTGAGCCATTTCCCAGCCCTACTTGACTGTATTTTAAAATGACCATCTGTACATAGTACACTCAAGTGTTTTCTGAGAAGAAGGGAAAATGTATTTGATCACAGCTGGTTTATGTTCTATGAATGTGAAAAAGGTCTTTTCTCTCACTAGGATTGAAGACAACGATGGTGAATTCTTGTTAAT